TATCCAGACTAAACCTTCTCTTCTTTACACCTTCTTCTTTATATTCCATCTTTATCTAGACTAAACCTTCTATTCTTCTCTACACCTTCTCCTTTATATTCCATCTTGATCCAGACTAAACCTTCTCTTCTTTAACCTTCTCCTTTATATCCCATCTTTATCCAGACTAAACCTTCTCTTCTTTAACCTTCTTCTTTATATTCCATCTTTATCCAGACTAAACCTTCTCTTCTTTACACCTTCTCCTTTACATTCCATCTTTATCTAGACTAAACCTTCTATTCTTCTCTACACCTTCTCCTTTATAGTCCCTATTAATCCAGACTAAAACTTCTCTGCTTCTTTTAACCTTCTCCTTTATATTCCATATTCATCTAGACTTCACCTTTTATTTATTGTTACACCTCCACTACTCTAGTTTTCGTTACCTCTTGTTGAGAATTTCTATGTTAAACTTTTAGAATTTCGTTCTCCTTTAACTAATACTTCTATTCTACATTTATTTAAAAGGTTGATAAATAAAAATGTTAATAAATTTTTCTTCTTGTTCACTGTTTACATTCTCTCCAAGCTTGTCTCAAGGGAAGTTAGAACACGCAAATATGTATCTCAAGATCTTCAACATTAATCCACAGAGTTCATCCAGAAATCAGGATGGTTGGATATTTGTATAGTTGGATGGTTGGATGGTTGAATGGTTGGATGGTTGGGTGGTTGGATAGTTGAATGGTTGGATGATTGGTTGGTTGGATGGTTGGATGGTTGGGTGGTTGAATGGTTGAATTGTTGGNGTTTCTAATCCAACAATTTTATATTTTCTTTATCTTTCTTTGATGAAAGAGAGGAAAAGGGAGGGGGAAATAAAAGAAAAAGAAATTGGGAATTACAAAAAGAAGAAAGGGGGAGGGGGGAAAAGTTTTTAATTTTTCAGACGGGGGATGAAAGTTGGGGATTTAACTGAGTCTAGGATAAAATGAGATCAGAGTTCGAAGAGTTAAAGCTGGGGAAAATAGAGAGCTCCTTGGGACCAAAGACTATCCAAATTAAAAGAATAGGTATCACACCTATATCATAATCCAGAGCTATCCTGTTCCATAGTTTCCTACTTATTTCATAATCCAGAGCTATCCTGTCCCATAGATTCTTACCTATTTCATAATCCAGAGCTATCCTGTCCCATAGATTCCTACCTATTTCATAATCCAGAGCTTTCCTATCCCATAGATTCCCACCTATTTCATAATCCAGAGCTATCCTGTCCCATAGATTCCTACCTATTTCATAATCCAGAGCTATGCTGTTACATAGATTCCTACCTATTTCATAATCCAGAGCTATCCTGTTGGCAGACTTAGTATCATCTGAGTATCCTGCCTTCTTTGTCTCGAAGAACATTTGAGAAATCACGTAGGAGTAAGAACCGACCTAAACAAACACATGTGTTTATATATATGCCGGAGTTGTCTGTTTGTTTGTATGCCTGTTTCCAGTAATCGTCAAAACGGCTGAACCAATCAGGAACAAATATTTTTTGGCAACTCATATGACCCCAATATGGTTTCTGGACTGTCAAAGATTAAAAATCTGCGAAATTTTAAACGATTGAAAAGGGCAAATATCAGAGCAACAGTTAAAAGACTAAAAATGTTAAAAGTAAAAGTAGAAATTCTGATTTCTGGTTCCTTCCTGTTTTCAGTGTCTTAATACTCCAGACTTAGAGTATTCTCATTATGTAAATATTAATGTGAAATACAGGATATAAAATTTTATATAGTATATACACTCAGGTGAGGGGGGAGGGGGGATATACACTCAGGTGAGGGGGGAGGGGAGGTGGATAATTGAATTTGTTTTATCTTCAACCAGTTCAAGGAAAAGAAAGATGATTAGGAAAAAGTTTGATATGCGAGGGGAGGAAAGCCTGCCACACAGCCACATAATTTTTGCACCCGAATCACATTTTGCTTTTTCACACGTTTGAGCCGCACGTTATCCTTATTTTCTCTAGACAAGCTCCTTATGCTTATTCTTGTGGAATTTTTAAAAATCTGGATGCGGTAAATTTAAAATTTTCGTAAATCATAAAAACAGTTTTAATTGGATAAAGTTTCTCAATGTTTTTTTTTTTTCATCCAATAATGGATTGGTTTTATTTTCGTTCTTTTGAAAACTGATTTGCGTATTTATGCATCAGGAATAATCAAGGAATTTTAACACTTTAAGGGTAAAAAACGACGATTTCTTCATCATTGTTTCTCGAGTAGATGGTTTATAAGGGTACCATTGTGAATTGAATATTTAAATTATAAAATGGAAGGTAACTTGAAATAACGCCTAAAGGTGGACCCAAGACTGATGACGTCAGGTGTGTTAAGTAAGATTGTAAATCTAAATATGTTAATATGAAAAGTTTGTGTAGATGTACTAAGGACAGTTTGACGAGTTTTCTTAGAACTGGAAACTTTAAGAATAAAATGAAATTGTCTTTCTTATTATTCCAAGTGTCGAGCTGGTTATCTAACTCCTACCTAGACTAAGAAAAAAGTTTATAACAATGAATTACTGACAGAACTTTGCGACCCCATAGTTCCTCAAGCTTTTAATGTCATCAGAACTCAGAAGCTTTTCTCTTTTTAACATCAAGGGAAGAAATCTTTAAGAAGCTAAATTTCAAATTCCAACGAATTCAGTTTAAGACCTTCCTTTACTTTTTATTATATCAAATATAATAAACAAACAATACCAATATACATTGTGACTTGTTAGTGATATTTGCTTCGTTGAAAAACAAATTATTGAAAGAGTTGAATACGCAGGTATTTTAAAATAAACTATTATTTTTATAAAATTTAAACTGTGACAGTTAAATAATCACTGCAATAACAAATGGATAATTTATGTATAATGTCTTGTTCAGCTAGAGAGGACAATTTATTTTAAAAAATATGCTTCTACCTTGAATTTACAGCGCTGTGTGTCCAATGGGAACTTGTCAAAACGCATCGGACAGATGAACGTTATATGGGTGGCATGGCTGTACATAACGTTCCCGCTGGTATCGATCCACAGACCAGCCAGCTTAGAGAGCACGTTTATCACCTGGACATAATGTGTTTAACTTTTTTAAAGTTTTTTTTTACATTGTGGTTATACAAAAGACGAGAGGAATAGGGTTCATGACGTATAAGGAAAGTTTGGTTTCCAATGCCCAAATTTGGTTCTCTAAAGGCCTTTCAGAACCCGCTCTGGAAGCTGTTTAAAATGATTTTGAAAAATTTTGTAAATAAGGGCGGAGTCCTTTTTCTGAGTAAAAAATCTGCTAACACTGAAATGATATCTGCAAGTTAAGATGAGATTAAATCGACAACTATTTTCAATTTAAAGCTAGGCCAATTTTTTGAAGGTCTAGCGATATTTAAAAATCAGCCAGGTCTTAATAGTTCCAGCATAGTTTTATATCTATGTATATCGGGATGTAAAAAAGGGGTTTACCTTGTAGGTTTTGAGGTTGTAGATAAAAATGTTTGGCACCCAAAGATCTTTCACAAACTCCAGAGTCATCGGAATATTCTGGTTTCAGGGTTCAATATCAGAGCTGGGAACTATTGTGTTGTGAATATCGAGATCAATGCTTTATTTCGGTCTTTTGTTAATCTGCAGATTCATTTAATCTTCATTGGATATCCAGTAGTGTAATTGTACTTTGAGCTGGGAACTATTGTGTTGTAGGTATCGAGAGCAATGCTTTATTTCGTTCTTTTGTTAATCTGCAAAGGATGAGACTTAACTTGGAACTCATTTAATATGACAATCTGGTGGTTGTTTCCCTGAACTATATTATTTTATGGTACTTGGCGCGCACATCTTTTATTTCAATGGACCATTTTCTCTTTGTATACATTGTAAAACAAAACCAAAAAAATTGGAGGATTTTATTAAACAAAATTGTGGATTTTAAAAATTCAATAAAAATTGAATTGTTATTTTTAAATTTTGTTCATTCATAAACCTTTCCTCGGATCAATGTGAGGTCTCATACAAAATTTGGGTCCGATCGGTTCAGCCGTTTTGTCGTTTATTGGATACACAAATACAGACATACAAACAGACAAGCAAAGTATATATTTTAAAGACAATTTAGTCTTCAAAATAAAAAAAAACAGGTGTAGGGAAGCATGAATGTTAAAAAATGACTGAATAATTTCTCTACGGTCGTCTCGGATACTGAACCTTTGTTGGAAACCCGTTATAAATTATAGCCACCATATTGAGGTTTACAATGAACCTGTAAAAGGGATAGAGAGTAAACCATACGATGTTTACAATGAACCTGTAAAAGGGATAGAAAGTAAACTATAAGATGTTTACAATGAACCTGTAAAAGGGATAGAGAGTAAACTATAAGATGTTTACAATGAACCTGTAAAAGGGATAGAAAGTAAACTATAAGATGTTTACAATGAACCTGTAAAAGGGATAGAAAGTAAACTATGAGATGTTTACAATGAACCTGTAAAAGGGATAGAGAGAACACGTAATTTTACTTGTTTTCCTAAACAATGAATATGAGGCATAGTTCAGACGGAAAATGTGTTTTCACAGATTAGAAAATCAGAGTTTGTATCAAAGACTAACAAAATATGAGATTGAGTAGGGGGAAAGCAAAATATAAGATTGAGTAGGGGGAATGCAAAATATGAGATTGAGTAGGGGGAAAGCAAAATATCCTTTTTTAAAGACAGGGGAGCTAGGGGGATTTTTTTCTTCAATAAAATAAAACCCCTGTTATCGGTATATTGAAGCCTGCCTGAGGCATGTTAGAGTTATTAGCGTAGGACGGGTCTATATACAGCCTTCTCTCTATCCACTCCACGTTGAAGTAGGTCGAGAAGGTTATACTGTAATCCTTATCATTTATTTTCAGTACTTCCTCAATATCTATAGTTACAGATATATTGTTGGTCTCCTAAATACAGTACACATCATTACAACACATTTACATACAGTAGTCATCGGAAATATCAATACAATGAAGACGACTTTCTATTTCAACAGCTAAGACACATAAACGTGCAAAAAAGAGAAGTTATCAATAATTAGAGCTTTGCTTTGCTAACTTTTTAATTTGTAATTTGAAAAATACTTATAAAAGATCAAAGCATTATTAACAAAATGTCGTCTTTATTGTATTGATATAACCGCAGACCAATGTACAAACAGAGATGGAAAGAAACTGAGTTCTTGCCAAAAACTCTGATTTTCTCGTCCGTATATCTTTGCAACCCAATTTCGCTTACCTTTGATAGTTCAAAATATTTATTCTGTTATGATCAGATTTTGAAATATGACAGGCTTACATCCTCTGGTTGCAAAGATTATATTAGAAAATTTAAGTTTGTGTCAAAAACTCAATTTCTTTGAGGGAGATGTTGTTGAAAGAAATTCCAAAAGTTCTTTTTGTGCAGTATGAATATTAATGTAGATTTAAATTTAAGAAAAAGAAAAAGAAAAAAGAAAAAACATGTTACTGTTTATTGTAAATTGTGTTTTTGTTTCTGATAAAGTAGTAAAATTGTGATAACGGTTGAAAAGTGGTAACACAATTCTCATGCTTATTATTAAGACACAGGAATACAAATTTCAATGAAAAATGTTTCAAGTAAATTTATAAACATTCATTATGTTTTCGCTTTCTTGATAATTTTTTTAGAATATATGTCTCAAGAGAAAATAAGGATGTTTTAAATTATTTTTAACCAAAGTTTGGCGGATTTTGTATAATGATGGTTTTCCTGTGTGTAGGGAAGCTCGAACTTCGAGTAGTTGTCTGGTAAACAGATGTGTTTTGATATCCCTGAAATATCGAGTAGGTAGAAAACAGATATATTTAAACATCCCTGAAATATCGAGTATTTAGTAAACAGATATATTTGAATATCCCTGAAATATCGAGTAATTAGTAAACAGATATATTTGAATATCCCTGAAATATCGACTAGTCAGTAAACAGATATATTTGAATATCCCTGAAATATCGACTAGTCAGTAAACAGATATATTTTAAAATTTGTAAATTATCGAGTATAGTTAGTAAACAGATATATTTAAATATCCCTGAAATATCGACTAGTTAGTAAACAGATATATTTAAATATCCCTAAAATATCGAGTAGTTAGGCAACATGTATATTTGAATATCCCTGAAATATCGACTAGTCAGTAAACAGATATATTTGAAAATTTGTAAATTGTCGAGTATAGTTAGTAAACAGATATACTTAAATATCCCTGAAATATCGACTAGTTAGTAAACAGATATATTTAAATATCCCTGAAATATCGAGTAGTTAGAAAATATATATATTTCAATTTCCCCGAAATATTGAGTAGTTAGTATACAGATATATTTGAATATCCCTAAAAGATCGAGTAGTTAGGCAACATGTATATTTGAATATCCCTGAAATATCGACTATAGTAGTAAACAGATATATTTGAATATCCCTGAAATATCGACTATAGGAGTAAACAGATATATTTGAATATTTGTAAATTATCGAGCATAGATAGTAAACAGATGTGGTTTGATATCCATAAAATGTTGAGAGGATATAATTGATGTTACTGAAAGGTTTCTTAACTAACTACGTATAAATGTATAGATTAACATAAATCAATAAATCAACAAATACGAGAAATAATTTAATTCCTAATTAGTAATAATTATTTCCATGACGAGCATTAGCATCAATACCCGAATACCTAATTACCTGAATACCTAAGTATACAAACACACCCAAATTTTGTATGCTTAAGAGTTAGGAACCCTAGCTAAATCCATAAATAAATCTTTAAATCCATACTGCATTTCTGTTTTAACCTTTGCAATTTTATGTTAAAAACAGTTTTTTTACATACTTCTTACACGTCCATTCTCCCTTCTTAAAAAAACGGTTTTTTATTAAATTTTTACACTAAGAGGGGGGGGGGGGGTTTGGACTTTTCCGCCCACTTGGCAAACTTTTAAATGAGGGTTTAAAGGGACTGTATGTCTTACTTCCAGTGACCCTTCATGCAAAGATGGCGATTCCCGATTCACAACGGTACTATCATTTTTATAGGCTTATAAGTGTTTTATTTTGATTATTCCTATATTCTTTCCATTATCAGTTTTCAAAATTATAAAGAAAAGATGTCTGATCTATAGTATATCTATAAGAGTACCGTAGTGAATTGGACATTGTTACTTGAAATAACGCCTTACATCGTGGAAAGCTGTTTATCTCTGTCCCCTTCTATTGATGAATCCAACGTCTAAGGTTGAACCGTACACGTCGACACTCGAGAGAGCAATAAACCGACTCAGCGCTGAACCATATATTTAAGATACAAAAGTTTTGCATTTTACCACCCACTGTAGTTTCAGTAGAAGTAGATATTTCTATTTACCGATATCAGGATTTATCTCTAATTGGATGATGAGATACATAGAAAGATAGATGATACTGCCATGCAATTTCTTTTGGTTAAGAATAGACACCAAACACTTGCACCAAACACTCCCTGTACTTACATAATAACCCCCTCCCCCCAAAAAAAAAAAACTCTGAATAAAAGCTAATATTTAGTATGTTACCATTATACATTTTATAACAGAGAGAAAATATCTTTATTTTTTCGAATAATCAAACGCTTTTCCTAAGTCCAATCTCTTGACAAACTGATCTAAAAGTTTGTACCTTGTCCCAGCAAGCTGCCTTTTTCAATTCACAATTTGACCAATTAAACATAATTTATTTGTTTTTCTCTTTCATTTATTTTGTCGACGGAAAGTTTAAGATGAAGCAGAATAACTCTGTAAGTTATAAGATTTTTGAATTATATACGAAACGTTAATATTGATTACAAATTGCAAAAGCAGAACTGATCTCGCCCAGGTCAGTCTAGCATGAACAGTGCAACATTTCACCGTAGGATGATGAACAGTTACCGTAGGATGTTGAACACTTTAAGGGTATTTTCCCGTTTTTTGAAAATATATGTATACCATAGGCTTCGCACCCATCTTCTTTTTCAACTTTTAATTGTTGGTCAATCTTCGATGAAACAATTATAAATTTTTTTGCGGATTTACAATTTTTCGTTGATTTTTTAATTTTGCAAAAATCTAAATATTTGGAGACAATGCTCTAAACCTTTCCTGGGGTTATGTGAGGTCCAACACAAAATTTAGGCCCGATCGGTTTAGCAGGTTTTACGTTTATTGGATACAAACAAACAGACAGACAAGCAAAGTATATATCTAGATGCGACCGAGAAATACCACTGAGTCTACCAGAAAATATTAAAAATATAAATATTCTTTTTTAGGATTTTCAGGATATTAAACTGAGCAAAGATTCAATTTTTTTTTTTACCTTTAAGGTAAAGATTGTAAAGCGAGTAGGATTAAGAATGAGATAATTAAATTGAAATGAAAAGGGAGTAGGATTAAGAATGAGATAATTAAATTGAAGTGAAAAGGGATTAGGATTAAGAATGAGATAATTAAATAAAGATGAAAAGGGAGTAGGATTAAGCATAAGATAATTAAAAGAGATGAAAAGGGGGTATGATTAAGAATGAGATAAGTAAATTGAAATTAAAAGATGTAAAAAAATAACATGACTGCATTATTCTTTTTCCGAATTCCATAGTTCCAGACCAAAAATATAATTTTACATCGTTTTTATTTGTTAAAAATAATAATAAGTGTAAAACCATAAATAAAGTATTTGATGTGTTTTCAAATAAGTAAACACTGAACCATTCCATTAATGATATAAAAATACGATGATGCCAACGTTTCTGAATTGGTAGAAGTGGACAACTTGGAAATAGGAATGGATTGAGGGGGAAGGAAAAACCAATTTCCCAACTTCTTTTAGAAAAATATAAGTTAATATAGAAAATAGAAAATAGAGCGTTTTCATACAATTCTCTCAATTTTCTGTCTGCTTTTGAAGTATTGAGAAATAGTTTTAAAAAATTCAAACCTTTTCACACTTAAAGGGACTGTAGACGTAATTACAAGTGACGTAATTCAGACCTTTCAGACCTTGATTGATTTGATTTCCTCAATACTTGATTGGTTAGGTTGCTTTAATGCTTAATTAGTTTGGTTGCCTCAATGCTTGATTTTTTTGGTTTCCTCAATGCTTGATTGGTTAGGTTTCTTTAATGCTTAATTAGTTTTGGTTTCCTCAATGCTTGATTGGTTAGGTTACTTTAATGCTTAATTAGTTTGGTTGCCTCAATGCTTGATTGATTTGGTTTCCTCAATGCTTGATTGGTTAGATTGGCTCAATGCTTGATTGATTTGGTTTCTTCAATACTTGATTGGTTAGGTTTCCTCAATGCTTGATTGATTTGGTTTCCTCAATGCTTGATTGGTTAGGTTGCTTCAATGCTTGATTGATTTGGTTTCCTCAATGCTTGATTGGTTAGATTGCCTCAATGCTTGATTGATTTTGTTTCCTCAATGCTTGATTGATTTGGTTTCCTCAATGCTTGATTGGTTAAGTTTCCTCAATGCTTGATTGATTTAGTTTCCTCAATGCTTGATTGGTTTGGTTGCCTCAATGCTTGATTGATTTAGTTTCCTCAATGCTTGATTGATTTGATTTCCTAAATGCTTGATTGGTTAGATTGCCTCAATGCTTGATTGGTTAGGTTTCTTCAATGCTTGATTGGTTAGGTTTCTTCAATGCTTGATTGGTTTGGTTTCCTCAGTGCTTGATTGGTTAAGTTTCTTCAATGCTTGATTGATTTGGTCTCCTCAATGCTTGATTGGTTAGGTTTCTTCAATGCTTAATTAGTTTGGTTGCCTCAATGCTTAGTTGATTTGGTTTCCTCAATGCTTGATTGGTTAGGTTACTTTAATGCTTAATTAGTTTGGTTGCCTCAATGCTTGATTGATTTGGTTTCCTCAATGCTTGATTGGTTAGATTGGCTCAATGCTTGATTGATTTGGTTTCTTCAATACTTGATTGGTTAGGTTTCCTCAATGCTTGATTGATTTGGTTTCCTCAATGCTTGATTGGTTAGGTTGCTTCAATGCTTGATTGATTAGGTTTCCTCAATGCTTGATTGGTTAGATTGCCTCAATGCTTGATTGATTTGGTTTCCTCAATAATGGATTGATTTGGTTTCCTCAATGCTTGATTGGTTAGATTGCCTCAATGCTTGATTGGTTAGGTTTCTTCAATGCTTGATTGGTTAGGTTTCTTCAATGCTTGATTGGTTTAGTTTCCTCAATGCTTGATTGGTTAGATTGCCTCAATGCTTGATTGGTTAGGTTTCTTCAATGCTTGATTGATTTGATTTCCTAAATGCTTGATTGGTTAGATTGCCTCAATGCTTGATTAGTTAGGTTTCTTCAATGCTTGATTGGTTAGGTTTCTTCAATGCTTGATTGGTTTAGTTTCCTTAATGCTTGATTGGTTAGGTTGCTTCAATGCTTGATTGATTTGAATCTTCAATGCTTGATTTGTTAGGTTGCTTTAATGCTTACTTAGTTAGGTTGCCTCAATGCTTGACTGATTTGGTTTCCTCAATGCTTGATTGGTTAGGTTGCTTCAATGCTTGATTGGCTTGATTGTCTCAATTTTTGATTATTTATTTATTTATATATTTATTCAACTATTCATTTTTTATTTACCCTTTAATTAAATAAATAAATTTACAATATTTAGTTTGAAGGGTTGGATTAAGGGATGAATGTGAGAGAAGACGGACGAAGTCTACCCTAAGTTCCTAACAGAAAATAGAAAATTTATAGAGAAACTTGAACATTGAAGAAAATTGAGTTGAAAGAGATCAAATTTTATATTTGAAACGAAAGAAATACAAATTTGATAACGTTTAAAATGAATATTTAGGTCGATATTTAAAAGCAGATATAGATCCTTTCTTTAAATAGCTAAAAAAGGAATGTAAGAGTAATTTCAAGTGACCCTCAATGCAAAGATGATATACATTAATCTCGCTGATCAAAAAGATCTTCCTTTTCCTGACTCGAAAAGTGATTATTTCTGTGAATTTCTCCATTGCTTTTATTAACAAGAAATGCAGAAGTCAGAGAAACAAAAAGATTAAAATATCGTTGTAAATTGGGCATTGTCATCTTTGCATGGAGGGTCACTTGAATATTACGCTTACAGTTTATTTTGAAAATATACAATTTATTGGAAGAAAATAGTATCAGTCCCCTAAACAGGACGGTAGAGTGTAGATCTAGTTGTTACATGTCCGATTCACAACGGGGCCCCTTGGTTCTTTATCGGATTAAAGATGAAGAAGATAACTTTGTATCTGTCTTGAAAACATGACAATTTTTTTCCATTTCCTTCTTATATTCTGGTGCAGAAATCCATACTTTCCGTAGAGGACCGTATTTTAGAATACTCAATTTCTAGATGTGAAAATGTTGAGTAACCCTCCATCCAACAAGGACAATGCCCGATTTACAACGGTTCTCTTAATAGATTTGTTAAATTAGAAATCCATGTTTCCGTTTCTTTAAACTGTTTACTTTTATTTGCGGTATCTCTGAAATAGTGACTCGCGCATTTCTTGCTTATAAGAAGCAATGGAGAATTTATCACAATAAAAACACTATTCGAGTCAGGGAAAGTATGACATTTTTAATGAGATTAAGGTTTCAAGGGTATTGTTGTAAATTGGGCATTGACATCTTTGCCACAGAGGGTCACTTACATTTACGCTTACAGTCCATTGGGCATCTCACGCTTTAAATGGACTTGAAGTTACGTGTACACTCCCTTTAGATAGACATGAAAATACATGGACACTCCCTATAAAAAGACTTGAAATTACGTGGACAGTCCCTTTAAATAGACTTGAAATTACGTGGACACTCCCTTTAAATAGACTTGAAATTACGTGGACAGTTCCTTTAAATAGACTTGAAATTACGTGGACAGTCCCTTTAAATAGACTTGAAATTACGTGGAAACTCCCTTTAAATAGACTTGAAATTACGTGGACAGTCCCTTTAAATAGACTTGAAATTACGTGGACAGTCCCTTTAAATAGACTTGAAATTACGTGGACACTCCCTTTAAATAGACTTGAAATTACGTGGAAACTCCCTTTAAATAGACTGGAAATTACGTGGACAGTCCCTTTAAATAGACTTGGGATTACGTGGACAGTCCTTTTAAATAGACTTGGGATTACGTGGACAGTCCCTTTAAATATAACAAGTTTACAAACCTGCACTGCAATGAAAGCCTCCTTTCCCTTGTGCCGGGGTTGGAGGATGGAGGACTGCTAGGCAGCCTAGGAGAACCAGGAGCTCCTGCATACTCTCCTAGAGGGGGTAGAGGAGATCCACCAGGAGATATCAGGCGGAATTCATACCAGGAGCTGGTTTCAGGAGGTTTTCATCTCAAGGTAGATCTGTAGAATAGAAGAAATTAAAAAAATGAAATCTGTACTTTATAAACTCAATTTCTACAGTAAATAATATATATCTAGAGGAACTATGAGGTCATAAAGCCGCCGCAATATCAATGTCGCATACATACATTTGACCCCCTCCTTCCGTCTAGTTTCCAGTTCTAGTAAAAGTAGCTTAAAATTAAAGAATTTTTATTTTTGAGTCGTTCTTTCTTTGATAAAGATTGCTAAACAATGGAAAACATTTTTTTTACTATTTGATAAAAATAATAAAATACAAGGATCACTATAGCATACAAAACTTATGAATTCAACACTGACATTTCTTTTTAGAAAATAACATTTTTCTTCATTAATGTTTAATGGTGAAAAAGAATGAGAATATGTTTTAAAAAGATCAAATAATTTCATGACAATACGTTTATTTAAATGTTTCTACAATTTATTTCCACTTTAAAAGTCAAAATACAAAGAATATAAAAGTATAAAATATAAAAGCAAAGCCCTGATAAAGTGGAATGTCCGATTCACAACAGTAGTTAGGCAAGGGACTAAACTAAAGAAGGAGTTGAAAAGAAAGGTAAAATGCACCAAAAAGTTTTCGTAAAAATTAAGAATACCATTACTTTTTAAATTTAACCAAAAAAAATATGATTCAACAAAATATTGATCTAGTTGAACTAAACCTTAATCTAGTTCAACAAAACATTAATCTATAAGTTCAGCTAAACCTTAATCTAGTTCAACTAAACCTTCATCTAGTTCAACTAAACCTTAATCTACTTCAACTAAACCTTAATCTAGCTCAACTAATCCTTAATATAGTTCAACTAAACCTTCATCTTGTTCAACTAAACCTTAATCTAGTTCAACTAACCTTAATCTAGTTCAACTAAACCTTCATCTAGTTCAACTAAACCTTAATCTACTTCAACTAAACCTTAATCTAGTTCAACTAATCCTTAATTTAGTTCAACTAAAACTTAATCTAGTTCAACTAAACATTAATCTAGTTCAACTAAACCTTAATCTAGTCCAACTAAACATTAATCTAGTTAAACTAAACCTTAATCTGGTTCAACTAAACCTTTATCTAGTTCAACTAAATCTTAATTAATCTTTATCTGTGAACCTAGAGCTCCATTTGACAGTCGTACAAGGATTTCCTCTAAGTCTAAAGTTAGATGGATATATGAGAATATGTCAGAAATATCAAAGTATGCTTGAATTCCTTGGGTTAGATCCTCGGAGTTTACTCCATTAAAACTTTGGGACCGTGTCTCTACCCCACAGAATTTACTTAATTACTCGTAAAAGGGTGTAAAGAGTGTCATAAATGATGCACAATTGTACAGTGTACACACTCTGTATTATTTCAAGAAAAAATTAATGATATTTCAAATCACAATGCTTAAGGTTCCAGGCAAAAATCTGCTTCTAAAACTAAAGCTAAAACACGAACTTCATTATTCTAAAATGTTTACAGGTCAACAAAAAAAGTATTTGAGTTATGCTGTAATTATGAAATAGGTTAAAAATAAAATCTAAAGCCCAGCGTTACCATGCTTCAAAGTTAAGCCAGTCTTAAATATTGCTTTTTTTACACAGTGTGTAGCTGATTTTTACTAAATGATTACACCGAGATATATCTTTCTAACTTAATTTCATTAGTCCTTTATTACCTAGTCCCAAACCAACATCATCAATTTTATTCCTCATCAACTTTAATATTACGTTTAACACATTTAACTTAGTTTAGATTTTTTAGATTTTTAAGAACTTTTCTTTTTGTTAATACCTATTAGACTTTTTAAAATCTGTTTAGTTGTGTGCTGATGACCAAAAGCTTTTTTTCAAAATTATGGCAAAAAGAAGTTTCCAGGGCTAGAAAAGAATTCAGGGTCATAAAAATGTGTTTTAAAGGTTTTTAATTTTGTAAAAAAATTTAAATTCTTGAAAATCCGCGAATTTTTTTTTAAATCCGCAAACTTTTTTCTTCTTAGTTTTAAAATGTAAACAAAAAGAACATGTTCACAATTTAAATAGAAGATGGGCGCGCAGCGCCTAAAAGCCTAGTATATTATATTACAAATGACTTATTTTGTATGGTAAAAGCCTGGTGCGGTACTCAATAAAAGGGGGGGAGGTATGTGTAATATGAGAAAAGGGGGAAAAGGTAGGGTAACTGTAAGATGAGGAAAGTGGAGATGGTAACTGTAGTCTGTAAGATGAGGAAAGGGGGGAGGGTAACTGTAAGATGAGGAAAGGTGGTGTATATAGGGAAATCCAGTCGGATTCCAATGAATAGAGAAGATGTGTTAGTTCAGGAAATGGAAAGATGAAAAATAAACAAGGTTTAGGGGCAGACACAGTGGTTAGACACAATATACTTGACATTTTGCTTCCATCACAAGATAAATATTTTGGCGAGGGTTTGCAACTATCTTTTTTGAAAAAAAAAGTCTGTATCTTAATGGCATTTTTTCTTCCATATCTATTAAATTAAATGTAATTTTAGGAAGTTACCTTTTGGGAAATTGCCCATTTGAGAAGATGCCTGTTAGGAAATTACCTTTGGGAAAATGCTTTTTGAAAGTATCTAACGCCTTTCTACAGGGTAACCTACAAAAAACTAGAAGTCTTTAAATATAGAGATCCGAAGCTTAGGTTGAATTTTGTTTGTCCCTTGAAAATATCTTTAAACGGATAAATTGATTAATTTGACCAGTAAGAGAAAAGGGGATTTAAAAAATTCCCTACAGTCGTCTCTGAAGTCTCATGCATGGCTGGTAACCCTGAATTATAGGTTTTATTCGTACCGTGATTTCTACCTGATCAAATCAAAGTTACATTTTATTTTCTATTTTCTGTTCTTTTCCCTTCTGACATTTCTTTTTAGAAAATAACATTTTTCTTCACTCCCCCTAAGACATGCCCCTACTCAATCTGAAAAACCTATAATCTGATTTATTGCCCTGTTGACTATACACAGAGATACCTAATTGATTAAATGCATTTCCACAAAGTTTCTCTTAAAAAATCATTGATAGTCATGTCATCTGTACAATATTCATTGTACTCTTTTCACTGAACTCTGTACACAGTTGTGAACTGTACACTGCCAACTGTGAACTGTACACTACACATATTACTCGTGTACACTAAACATTGTGCACGTACACTGCCCATCGTACACGTACACCACACATTGTAAGCGGGCACTGTACAAATAGTGCACGTACACTGCATATCAAACACATTGTATGCTGCACACGTAAATTGTACTAAAGCTCTGCATACTGTGCACTGGACATTTTACACTGTACACAGCATACTGCTTACGGTATGTAAATTGCACACACTTTCGAATTCACAAACTTTCATTTGCAAAATACAGAAAATTCATAGCATTGTGAATTAAAGTTTTTGCATCAAACAACAAATTAATTGCATTTCTTTGTAAAGTGCATCATTTTCTGCATAAAGTACGACAAATCTACGAAAAACACAAATAAAAACGTTTTCATAAAATTTCCTTTAATATGTTATATTTCGTTTCCCCCCCCCCCCTCTTTGTAATGCACATGGTTAATTTCTAGTCCTGAATTTTTTAAACTTCCATTTCATGTTCTCTTTTATTTCTTAACCCTCATTCCTATTGTTGTTCCTGAAATCAAACCCAACGTATAGAAATCGCAACAAGGCGTATTTTGCGGGAGAATATTTTTTATATTTATGAAAAAATTTAACTTTTTTGTAATTATTGTAGCTTATCATTATTATTGTTTTTATCTTTTTTAACATAACCTGAGTCTAAAACTAAAGAATGCGCGAATTTTAAGTTCGAGGTTAAAAGTTCTGTAAAATAATGAATAGCTACTTAAATATTAAACTTTCTCAATTTTAAATTTGAATTTCCCGGGAAAATCTGAACCAATCAGAGAAAAGGATTTAAGGAGAGTATTACATAACCATCGCTAATCAGCTGTTTCTTTCTTTAACAAGGTTTTCACTTTTAAATATATCGTTAAGTTGAATGCCGCTTTCTCAGCTGCAGCTGAATGATGATTGAATAATAGACAAATAGGGAAAATGCAGGATTTCAAGATAATTTAAACCTCTGTTTAAATTTTAACTCGTCGATTTCGGCGAGTTAAATATTTAACCACAGGATTAAATATTTAACCTCCGGGTTAAAGTTCAGGTTTAAATTAAGTCAGAAGTGGCATTTAACCATGAACTTAAAATTTAAGTCAAAACTTTTCGTTCTTTAGTTTTGGACTCTGGACATTCAAGGAGCGAAATAGTTTAATGATTATCAATGTCATTGGTTTTATTTAGTACACCAAACTATATCGGAGACCCTAACGGACTGAGCACTTACAGTACGTTGTTGTCACAAAACATACAAACAAGAAAAGGGATATTTCAGAGCAGGTGGAACATTATGCATGTCAGGGACAGTTTATTTTTCTTAGAAATATACAGTGCTTCCCAAAATAAAATGGTCAGTGAGGTCAACTTTTCAAATATTCGGTGCTCCCCAAAATAAAATGGTGAACAAAGAGAATGGAATATATATTAGAGTGGAATTTACTAGAAAAATGTGTAAAACGGCCATTTTGTTGTACTGTTTCCATAATGCAGGTGTGCTTCACATATTTATGCTATATAACCTTTTGGGCCCTGGAACATCATTTGATAGAAAATTGAAAATTAATATTAAAAGAAAACCAAATTATGAGATAGGCTGGTTTCATAATTGACCAATGAACATTTCACATAGACTCTATGCCTTTCACTTTACAAACGATGATTTTCCGTTATAACTATAAATCAAATGATGTTTTGTATTCACCTAATTAATTTTATGAAGTTTATTTAACAGCTTTAAAAAATTTGAAATTTAAATCATTAAATGGATAGTCTAGGGAACATACTGTATTAATGTACTCGACTGCATATAATTTGTAAACATTTACATGATTTGTACACTTTGAACTCCCTTTTAGGCTGAAAGGAACTGACAAAATTCATTCCGAAGGATTTTCTACGTTCCACTCTAATATATATTCTATTCTCTTTGATGGTTAATAAAGTAACTTCTCGTAAATATACATTGCTCCCCAAAATGAAATGGTAAATGAAGACGCACTTTGTATGTGTCCGTTCTCTATAGTGTTTGTCTGCTAGATGTCACCAAAAGTATAGGTGTCAGCACATGGAGAATCTAATTTTACTTTGCTTTCTATTCGTATACACCGAGAGGGGTTGTGTTTCACCGTACTTCAAATGGCCACAGTGGACACGTCATTAGTTTACAAAAAGTACGGATGAGACGACACGGGCTCAACGTTTTCTAATTTCCAATGTTGTCTTCATTTCCACTTAAAGGTCTGTCTTCAAATTCCACTTTATATATATATAATATATATGTATGTATTTGTAATACATAAATATAATTATTAAACTATTAACATGTATTGTTGAGCAATCAAGTAATAATTGATTCATTTCCGTTCAACGTTTCCGTCATTCAAGGAGCAAATAACAATAGGAATAGGAATAGGAATAGGAATAGGAATAGGAATAGGAATAGGAATAGGAATAGGAATAGGAATAGGAATAGGAATAGGAATAGGAATAGGAATATGAATAGGAATATGGATATGAATAGGAATAGGAATAGGTATAGGAATAGGAATAGGTATAAGAATAGGAATAAGAATAGGAATAGGAATAGGTATAGAAATAGGAATAGGAATAGGAATAGGAATAGGAATAGTAATAGGAATAGGAATATGTATAAATATCAAGTAGGGATTAATGTAAATATTTCCTGACAACGAGTTATCAGAATCATTTAAATCAATGTTTCACAAGGAAACATTTTTCACTAAAAATTAAAATAAATCTCCCAACGTAATATTAAAATTTTTCAGATTTTTCTACGAGATCACAGTTTCTTTAAGAAAAAAAATTACTGAATCCAAATCTCCAATCTCGTAGATGGCTTAACGAAATTTATACTGTTTTCCTTGATATTCATAATAAACTAGTTTCTTTCTTTCCTTGCCAAATCATTTAATAAGTTAGTAAAGGCTTATTCAAGACAGAAAACCTTTGTATCAACATATCATGAGAGTTTCAAGTCGTCTTTACAGTCTCACTCTTTATGGATAACCCTGTATCTTGTAAAACCAAAGATACTTTTAAAAATAACACAAAATATTTTAACAAGATTTATAACCAAGGATATGTAATCAATGATATGTAACTTAGGATATAAAACCAAGGATATATAACAAAGGATATATAACCAAGGATATATAACCTAGGATATATAACCAAGGACATAAAACCAAGAATATATAACCAAGGATATATTACCAAGGATATATAACCAAGGATATATTACCAAGGATATATTACCAAGGATATATAACCAAGGATATATTACCAAGGATATATAACCTAGGATATATTACCAAGGATATATAACCAAGGATATATAACCAAGGATATAAAACCAAGGATAGTAAAAGTAAAAAGTAAAAAATTATTTATTTTGAAATATAACAAAAACATACAAAATAAAGTGTTTCAGGAGAAAATATTTAAAAACCTCTAAAAGTAGAGGTTGTGGGAATATTTCCCCCCTAATTCTAAAAAAATATAAAAATAGAAATAAAAGGAAAAGGAAAGGATAAGGAAAGTTACATATTTATTGTTTACACTATATTTAAATTAGTGGTGGATTGTTAGTATTTTTCGACGATGAACTAACAACTTTTAGAAATAAAAATTATATATTTATTGGTAATGTTAAAAAAAGTAAAAAAAAAGCTTTATGGAGTGTGAAAAAGATATAGGTTCTATGAAAAACGGGCATTTTTCAGCATCTTTTTTATTCGCACTGATTTTTATCTATAACCAATGATCTATATAACCAATGATATATTACCAAGGATATATAACTAAGGATATATAACCAAGGATATATAACCAAGGATATATTACCAAGGATGTATAACCAAGGTTATATTACCAAGGATGTATAACCAAGGATATATTACCAAGGATATATAACCAATGACATATTACCAAGGATATATAACCAAGGATATATAACCAAGGATATATAACCAAGGATATATTACCAAGGATGTATATCCAAGGATATATAACCAAGGATATATAACCAAGGATATATACAGAAGGATTTATAACCATACCCAAGGATATATAACTAAGGACGTATAACTAAGTATAAATAACCAAAGCTACATAAACAAGATTATATAAAATTAACCAAAGATTAATAACCAAGGATTTATAACCTAGAAGAACCAAAGATATATAACCAAAGATAAATAGATTTGTAACCATGATAATGTGTATAAATCAAGGATGTTCAAAATAGAATGCAAATCTAAGAATTATACAGGATGAATATCCAAAGATGTACTATCAGAGATATTTTATCATAAATAATTAACTAAGGTTATACAAACGACTAAGGAAGGAGTAACTAACCGTTAGCGATTAGGGTTCTATTAAGCAGAAATGTATATCCAAGGAATATAAACAAAGGAATGTACGTCCAAGGATTTTTGAGACAGGAATATATCCGAGGAATGTATTAGAAGAAATGTAAGAAAACATGTGAAATCAAGAATTTTATAAAAAGGAATGTAAAATCAAGAAATTTATAAGCAGGAATATTAATCCAATGATTATATGAGCAGGAACGTAAAAGCAAAGATACCTGTATTGTATAAGATGGTTGAACCCCGAAGGTTCCCTTTCTGCTCCACCTGCCATACTGAGACCTGCCATGAGGGACCGGGTCCCCCTCTTCTCTATCAATCTATCTATCATTCTCTCATTCCTCCTCCTCCACTCCCTCCTCCTCCTACCAGCCTCCATGTGTACCCGAACCTCTGTATATTTATTTTTGTCTTGGATCAAATAATGTTGGATTGAACCAAGGTCCTCATTCCTCAAATCCGGGAGAATTCCTTCACATATGCATTCATTACATTTCAGGAACCGGTTATTAAATAGCCCGCGAAAACTTAATGTACAAATTACATGAAAACCGGTTTTTAAGTCGCCATGATTTCTTAATCAATCAATCAAATCTTTTTATGCTTTCCGATTGTGGTAACTACGAGAACAACCAAGTATGTTTACAACCAGATGTTTAATTTACAAGCAAATAATTTCTGCACATATAAATTCGAATTGATTGGCACGGACCTAATCTTGTCCCGCCAGGCCGCACTTGTATAGCAACAGGTGAAGTATTACTATAATATCTCCAGGTATATTAGACCTCCCTGTAGAAGAGGATGATTCATTTAATAATGTACTGTCACGTTTTACAGTCAATAGGTAGATATACTGTACACAACTTGCTCTAGCTGCCAGAATATAGGGCCGGTATTCAAATAACCATAGTTTTCAGGACTACAGGTGGCGATAGTTTTTTTTGGTTAGTTTCCGGCGTGCATACTTTCAAGGTACCCTCCTTTTATTTCATAGAGCATTTCTGAGTAAAAACGGAATCCTTCTATATCTGATGAATAATTTTAAAATATCATTGCTTTTCTGACCTACCTAACTTAACATAGTGTTTAATTATCACAAACTTAAACTAAATAGATTGATTTTTAAAAAAATGATTGAATAAATTGGTAATTAGATAAAATAAACTCTAACTCTCTAACAATGATCTTGAAGCATAAAGTACAATTTAATTTTCCTTACAAACTTTTTTTAAAGTGTCGGACAGGATTTCAAAAAATCTTGAAATCTCATTTTTTTTAATTGAAGTCTTTTGATAAAAGTTTGAAAATAAATTCATTAGTTGAAAAATTTAGAGAACCAGAAACGATGAATATATCAGGTGAACCTGTGGAAACCTAGGAAACGTGGAGAAACCAGGATAAACCATGGAAACCTGAGAAACCTAGGGAAACCTAGGAAACATGGGAAACCAGGGGAAACCTGAGGAACCTAGAGAAACCAAAAAAAATTGGTAAAAATTGGAGAAAATATAGAAGCTTGAGGAACCTAGGGAAACCATGTAAAACATGGAAACCATGGAAACCTGAGGAAACCTGGGGAAACCATTGTAATCTGAGAAACCTAGGGAAATCTTGGAAACATAGGGAAATGGAAGCTTAGAAAACCATGGAAACCTAAAGTTAAACCCTAAATAAGCCATACATCGAAAGAATTCATCAAATGTCGGTTTCTTCACTTTCTGATAATATAATGTTATAGATATTTAGATTGACTGTATGGAGCTCTTTAAAACTGTTCCCGCATATTCATGGCTATTTATTCATTTTCGCAAATACTGAGATTTACGTAAAATAGTATGAAACCCATTGAAAAATTGTCAAGACGACATTTGATAAATTCTTTCGATGTATGGCTCCTTTAGGGTTTAACTGTAGGTAAACCATTGAAGCCCTAGGGAATCTGAGGAACCTAGGAGAACCTGGGGAACCTGGGGAAACCATGGGGAAACCTGGGAATCGTGAGGAAGCATGGGGAAACCATGAAAACCAGAGAAACCTACGAAACCAAGGTTAAACATGAGGAAAACAAGGAGAACCCAAGGAAACCTGAGGAACCTAGGGAAACCCAGGAAAACCATGGAAACCTTAGGAAACCTGGTGGAACCATGGAAACCTGAGGAATCCAGGGAAACCTAAGGAATATAAGAAAACCATAGTCAAACTAGGGAAACCATGTAAGCCTAAGAAACCTCGGGAAACCATGATTAAAACTGGAAATCCTGGGGAAACATTGGGGAATCCATGGATAACCGAGAAACCTACGAAACTATGGATACACTTGAGGAAAAAAGGAGAAACAAGGGAAGCCTGAGGAACCTACGGAAACGCTGGTTAAGCCAGGGACACCTGGGGAACCAATGGTTAAACCTGGAAAACCATGGAAACCTGAGGAATCTAGGGAAACCCATAGTTAAACTAGGGAAACCATGAAAGCCTGAGGAACCTCGGGACACCATTAGTAAACCTGGGAATCCTGAGGAAGCATGGGGAAATCATGGAAACCTGAGAAACCAACTAAACCATGGTTAAACCCAGGAAAAAAAGGAGAAACCACGGAAACCTGAGGAAGCTAGGGAAACGCTGGTTAAACTAGGAACACTTAGGGAAACCTAGGGAAACCATTAAAACCTGGGAAACCTACAAAACTTTTGTTAAACCTAAGGAAATACGGAAAAACTAGGGAAACCCTAGTTAAATTAGAGACACCTAGGGAAAACCAAGGTAACACATGGAAAAGCAAGGATCCCACATAGAAACCAAGAAACCCAAGGAAACCATGACATTTCAACTAATTATTCCCCCCCTCACCCCATACTCCCCCTCTCTCTATTTCCCCCTCTCAATATTTAATCCCCGTCCTTTCAGTTCATTTTCCCAAAACTCATTTAATATCTTCCTGAATCACCGAGTAATGGATCGAGAAGAGAAAGTAATTATCAATTTATTTGCTTTTTGTCATTTTCAGGGATCTTAGGAAATATATTAGAACTTTCTAGTGTCTCTATTTAGAGCTTTAACCATGGTTTTTTTTATAGGTTCGTTAGGTTTATATGGTTTAACTAGGGTTTCCCTAGTTTAACCATGGTTTCCCAGTCCCTAGTTTAACCAGGGTTTCCCTAGTTTAAACGGGTTTCCCTAGGTTCCTCAGGTTTCCATGGTTTAACAAGGGTTTCTCTAGGCTCCTCAGGTTTCCCTAGTTCAACTAGGGTTTCCCTAGGTTCCTCAGGTTTCCATGGTTTAACTAGGGTTGCTCTAGGTTCCTCAGGTTTCCATGGTTTAACCAGGGTTTTTCTAGGCTCCTCAGGTTTCCAGGGTTTAACCAGGGTTTCCCTAGGCTCCTCAGGTTTCCCTAGATTCCTCAGGTTTAAACACTCCTCGGCAGTACTATATATCTTTATATATATATTTTGCATGACGTGACTGGATTTAAAAAAATCACAATTTCAATGCAATAACTGCCGGAAGACAAAAAACTACTGTGTGGCATGGAAGGGAAAAACGTTGTGGCTTATGACCGCATGCCTTCCCCCGCTAGCAAACCAAGATGTACAGATCACTATATTAAATCATAAATTGTTTTAAAAGATGATGTCGAAATCGTCACTCAACTACCATGTTTATTGGAACATATATTTAATAGTCAATATATCCTAGTCACAGCGGTTACCACAGCTTGCTGCACAGGCCTGAAATATCTTCAGTTCGGAGGGACAACTTGCCATACATTCCTCCAGGCTTCCGGGACATCCGTCACCCATTCCTTCGCCCTCAATGGCTCCGCTATCCCCTCCTTGCACCAACCCTGAACCTCCTTGAGCCCCTCCTTTTGTTGGTTTAGGATAGTCCTTGGGAATCTTATCTGCTGGAGCCAGTTTTATATTATTGTGCTTACCCCTGATAATTATCAGAGTATATAACTAAGAAGAGGAGTGTAGAGTAGAACTAAGGAGAGGAGAGTAGAGTAGAACCAAAGAGAGGAGAGTAGAGTAGAACTAAGGAGAGGAAAGTAGAGTAGAAATAAGGAGAAGATGATAGAGTAGATCTAATGTAAGGGAAATGTGGTTTGTTTACATTTTACTGTGACGTATATGGACAAGTTGGAAACCGTAAAAACAACAAAGATTGTAAATAAGGTAATCTTGACCAGGACAATTACTGTTTACTAAAGTGTTACCCCACAAATTCAAGTTTTAGCTTTAATTTGAAAAGTTTTAGGTCGTCAATAAAGTTTTATCCTTTGCTGGTAATTCTGTAGATTGTATTTGTTTACAATAAAAGTTGTTATTTAGCTCTGTCCTTTTACGTCACAGAAGAATGTAAACAAACTCTATTCACCTCTTCACAGTTCCTCCTTAAAGAGAGTATAAAAGGTAATTTCAAGTTACCCTCCATGCAAAGATGACAACGCCTGATTTACAACAGTATCCTGGAAACCATAATGTAATATTTAAAGTATAGGTGACTCATGCTAAAAACCTCCCCCAGCCTCACACCTTTATCTCTTTGTTCTTTTAATGAATGCGGAGTAGTTAACCTGAACTGATTCATTAAGATTCAACAGTGCACCCTAGACCTTTGAACCGAACAGACGTATGAGTTAAGCTCCGTACAAGACCTTGAGAGATAGATATTATACATAAGAAGAGAGGTTTGGGTGAATTATGAACTGGTACTGGGAATGAAAGTGAAGTCTTGCATTAACCCTCAAAGATGGGGGGGGCAACGATTGATCTTGATTTCCCTAGGATTTATGTCTGGGATTGTAACGATATCAAGGGATTAAATGTTACAATAATCTGAACAGAAATGTGGAAGATACCGTCGTTTTTCTGACTCAAAAGGTGTTTTTTTTCTGTGAATTTATCCGTTCGCAGAGAACACGCAAATGAAAATAAACAATTAAAAGAAACAAAAACATTGAAATCTAATTCATAATTGATCAGACAGAGCTTTTAAGGATATCATGCCATCTTTGCATCAAGGTTATAATGAAAGGAAAGTTAATTGCAGTTACGTATACTCTGCGTACATATTGAAACCAGTTCTTACTTGGCGGAATTTTTAAACACTAGCCTTAGCCTTAGCCTTAGCCTTGTGTACATCGTAAAACAAAACAAAAATAATTCGCGGATTTTCACAAAAAATTTCGTGGATTTTCAAAATTTTAAAAAAAAATAATGAAGATCGAATTTTGATGGAGACAAATATTTAAAATTTCAATCATTCATAAACCTTCCCTGGGGTCCCTAGATGTCCCACAAAAAATTTGGGCCCGATCGGTTCAGCCGTTTTGACGTTTATTGGATACAAACAGACAGACACCCAAACAAACAAACAAACAGACAGACAAGCCAAATTTATATATAGAAGAAGAATAAATGCATCAGTGTTCGTTTAGTATCCGAGGAGGATAAAAGCATTTAATTCTGATAATTTTGATAATTCACATAATAGTTTCCTATGACCAGAATATTTCATTTATTTTTTTATGTGAAAGATGGATCCCATGTCAGGCTGTGACATCCGTCTTGTGTTTACATTACCGCCCAGTGAATGTACACTGCAGTACACAAGATGCGTACACCGATGAAATAACTATTCTTGCATTATATCCTTGCTTTGCATGAAGAGTCACTTAGAGATGAGCATCGTTTTTTGAAGGAAAAAATTTTTCCATAATAAAGGGTGTCGTTCAGCAAAAAACAAACGATGGATGAACGAAATTTTCAGAGAAATGAAAAAATGATAGCTTTTAAAAAACGAACAAAAACGAACGATTTAAAATCTTTTTTTAAAATTAAACATACAAATTTTCCGAAATTTAAAAGGTTTTAAATTTAAACGGTTTTTCGAACAAAAAAATTTGAACAATCTTAGGTTTTTTTTTACTAAACTAGCGATTTTTTATTAGCGAACGATTTTGATGAACTGTCGTTCAATGAAAAAACGAACGAAATAGATGGAAATAAACGATAATTTTGAGAACGAACGAAATTAATTATTTTGTGAACGGTTGAAAAAAAACGAACGAAATGAGCCCTTCATGAATGATGAACGAACAAAACGAAAAAAGCCGAGCGTCCCCATCTCTAAAGTTACTTGAAAAACCCTTACAGTCCCTTTAAAACTATCAGTTGGTATTTGTAATATTTTTTGCATTAATACTTTTGAATTGATGATAAACAATGAACTAAATATCCCTGAGACTGGAAAGAGAAAAGGTCGGATAATCTTTCCCGGCTTCTCCGGGAATTTTTCCTGAAATTGATGAAAGAGATGAAAACCCGGTGGGATCGGGAGGAGGGGGAAATAAAAGATAACAGACAAAGGACTTAAGTCCTTGCCACAAACTCTGATATTCTAATTCTAATATCTTTGCCACAAACTCTGATATTCTAATTATAATATCTTTGCAACCTTATGTCGTAGACCTTTGACATTTGAAACTATGAATTCTGTTAGATCAAATAATGTAAGTTTGAAATATCAAATATTTAGACATTAAGTTGCCAAGATATAGGGATTAGAAAATTCAAATGTGTGACAAAGACTCAATTCCTTTTGCTCCGTTTTTATTTATAGACCTGCATAGTGCCTCGAAAGTAAATTCTATTTAAAATGAATTAAACTTAACTTTTAAACTTTAAACTGTAGACATTTTAAGTTTATTCAGCTAATATATTTTTTAATTAACGGAGTTCGAATACGGGACTGGAGATATAAAAAGATAGACATCTGAGCCTATAACGCGAGGTTCAGGTCTAATTCTGCACCTTAGAAGAAAAAAGATTAAAAATATTCAAAAAAGTAGAGATAGTTGCTTAAAAATATAATTAGAAATGAATTTCAATTTCTGATAACAATGTTACTCGTAAAATTCTTAATGTTGAGAAGAAATGAATATAAAAATTACTATAATATAGTTTTTAAAATTCACATTCATCTGATTGTAGCCACGCATATGTCAAAAAGACAATTTTGAAACTTTAATCCTTTTCATCAAATTCAAGATTATTTTTTTAAAAACTTTTGGATTATTTTTTATGATTATATCAAGGAGTATGAAATATAAGGGAGATACAACTGCCGCGGCCCGCCCTACAATATGATTATACATGCTTTGCAGACGGGTACTCCATTTGTATCAGAAATATTTGTCTGATGTACAATTACCGCGGGCCGCGTCAGTTGTATCTCCCTTCTATTTCATACTCCTTGGATTATATGAAGTAAGCATTTTAAACAATTTTCTAAAGTGAATGTTTTTCTACTTTTCTTTAAAAATACATTGATAGTTTAGATAATTTCTTTCCATTATAAACACTACAAAAGGTTTTGTATTTTTCCAACAAGAAATATCATAATAAACTACATTTAAAAATTTATTATTTTCATTTCTATTTCAACGTATTTTGTTTTTCATCTATTAAAGAAAAATATGTGTCATTGAATAAATATATTTGATTCCAGGGACCAAATATATTTGATTCCAGGGACCTAATTTATTTGATTCCAGGGACCAAATATATTTGATTCCAGGGACCAAATATATTTGATTCCAGGGAAAAAATATATTTGATTCAAGGGATCAAATATATTTGATTCCAGGGACAGAATATATTTGATTCCAGGGACCAAATATATTTGATTCAAGGGATCAAATATATTTGATTCCAGGGACAGAATATATTTGATTCCAGGGACCAAATATATTTGATTCCAGGGACCAAATATATTTGATTCCAGGGATAAATATATTTGATTCAAGGGACAAAAGTTTAATGATTAAGGGAGACATGGCTGAACCGCGTATGAAGTTTATTTATCCAACTTCTCTTCAAGAAGAATGCCCTTTATTTCCGTATATTATTTTAAAAGAAATGAAAAGTTAAGTATTTAAGTATTTGGGTCGTATCTGAACAAATCTCTGTAAAAAAGTCACAGAAAAAAAGCTTCTTTGGAAAAATATCGGAAAAGAAATTTTGGTATAAAGTTCCTAATTTTCTGAAGTCCTGGGTCTTTTTCTTAAAATAATATGGGGGCTGCCAATAAAGTCTCAAGAAAAAAAATCACAGTAATTTAAGTCTTGAAGAAAATAAATCCGAAGAAAAAAACGAGAAAAAAGTCCTAAGTCTTGGAAAATTAGGTCAAGTCTGAGACATTTAAAAAAGGACTTTCCTTCTATACATCTGCATATTACAGCATGCTTTTAATATTAAGCCCCTTTTTTCAATGGTTGTAAACATCCTTTGTTCCCATGCATTTCCACTAAAGAAAACTTGCTTTCCAGGGACGTTTTTGTATAAAATCATACTGGAATCAGAAAAAAAGTCCTTAAAAAAATCTCAAAATGGTAGAAATTTATTTCCAGAAACTTTTTATTTCAAAGACTTTTTCCACAGGACTTTATTTCCGAAAACTATTTTTAGAGAACTTTTTTGCCGGTTACCATTTGAGCAAATGACCCGACTATCCGTAACTGAATTGTTCTTTCCTTTTTTAAAGAATAATAGTTAAGCAGCGTAATTCTGTACATTAATAGAATACACACTGAAATATCCCACAGGCCACAAGAAGGTAAAGTGCGCTGTTCAGTTGCTTCTCACTGTTTATTAAATATAGAATCCTTTTTTACCTTCATTTACTTGGTCCTGATATCCCCGTGTTTCCGGTTTATTCTGGGAGCTCCTAGGCTGGTCAGATTGGGATCTCGGAGTGCTCTGGAAAAATTAAGTGGGGACTCATAAAACTTCGGACAATGATATTTGATGTCGTTAATAAAGGAATAGTTTTACCAGGAGTTTGATAATCAACTTATTTTATAAAATGGGTCTAAGTACACTGCACAGTTTCTGTATCTCGATGTTCATTGAACTATTTCAAATTATAACTTGAGTGTAAAGTCGTCTTCATTTTCCACAGTTGGGTCCCTTTGTATATGTATAAAGTTGTGTTTTATCCCTATGTTCCAGTGAACATGGATTTGACGAAAAATTCTGTCGATCACATTTTCTGCCGCAAACTATTTTTATTTACCGATTCTTAGTTTAAATTTTACCAATTGAAGATCGGTGAATCTTCAAATTTAACAAATGGGCAATGAGAGATAAGTAAATTCCACATGGGTTAAAGACCTAAGTTAGATTATTGCAGCTAAACTGAACCTTTTTCAAAAGTTTCAAGCTTCCGACAATACATTTCTTTTTTAAATATTTTGGGACATTTCCCCCCTGATTCATTATGACGGTCATTAATTTAGACTCTTTGAAAGTTAAATTTTTATCAGAAATCCTCTTTTCCTTTATCCATTCACTCGGCTCCTGTCCTGGCCTACAGAACAAAGGATGAAGTTTAAGGGGATTAACGAGTATTCAGAAATTAGAAAATGATTAATCACATTTCCTTATTTCAACTTCAACGTCAAAAATAACAGGACCTTAACTTTTATAGTGACTGAACACTTGCCACGAATTTAAATTTTCTAATCCCTATATCTTTGCAAGCTGACTTTGTAGACCTGTCATGTTGTCAAATATCTTAAGTTTGAAATATTAACCATTAGTGTTCAGTTCAGTTCCTTTTTACGTCGCTGCATATAATTTTCAAGATTATATTTAATACAAAAAAACATGTTAAATCTTTAATTTGTGCTCGTCATCAAAGTAATATTCTTTTTTTTGTGAGAAATACTTAATTGAAATTTTAATGAAGACCTAAATCTCTTATCGGAACTAAAAGCGTAATTTCAACTGACCCTCCATGCAACGAAGGGAATGTCCGATTTACAACGGTACCCATTAAATTTTTGACTAATCATAGAGAGCAGAGAACTCCCTGTGTATTGTATATCTCTGAGATGGTTCGATCAGAAGCACATCACTTGAAATTACGCTTACAGTCCCTTTAAGATGTCAAGGAAGGGAAAGTTGAATTGTAGCTTCTGAATTAAATTTTATCAGTTTCAGTAACATTAATCCAGTGAATGCAGTAAAGTCTTTGATGTTGCATAATTCGTGGGTCTCTTCTGCTGGCTGAATACAGTACAGTGTGTATTATGCATAGTTTAAAATAACCTGGGATTAGAAGGACTTCCAAAACTCCCGTCCCAAAATCCAGATCTAAAAATGGATTAAATTCGATACATGTCTTAAGTTTTGGGCTCAGGTACAGTGCAGTGATACAGTGCAAACATCAAATATGCAGTACGGTCTCGGAGTACAAGTGTATCGGGAGGTTTTGTATCTTAAAGTTTACTCTGTTTTCTCAGAACCATTAACGATGAAATATTGCTCTGTAAAAGACTGTAATTGTATGTCTTCTTGTGAAAATGTTATCCTGCATACGATAAAGAAGTAGTGGATTTTAATAGTTACATGGAAAACAAATCTCCATTTAAATATTTTCAGAAATCCCCCCCGGGTACTGTAATATAAAGATTGACGTTTGGAAGTGAAGTACATGGCCTGTACAATTAGTGAAGGATTAGCGTACATCATCACTCTGTATACTATAACCTCGTTGACCACGCACTAAAACAATATCAACCAGTACACAACGGAATGATTACCGCTAAAATATTTCGCATACATTGAGACATATATTGGGGGAATAGAAAGACGACAGTTGTCAGACCCATAATTGGAAAGTTTTGGTAGGGGGCAAGTGGCCTGTTACCCCCCCCCCCCTCGAGTTATGGCACTGCATTCAAGTTATGATTTTAAATCTCATGTTTCAAATAAAAAGGTTAAGCATCGCAGTTCTTCATGGGACTGCACTAAATATAAAAGTTTGCTAACTGTTGGTGAAGCTATTTGAATAAAAAATACGCATAAAATTGAAGCTATTTGAATAAAAAATACACATAAAATTGAAGCTATTTGAATAAAAAATACGCATAAAATTGAAGCTATTTGAATAAAAAATACACATAAAATTGAAGCTATTTGAATAAAAAATACACATAAAATTGAAGCTATTTGAATAAAAAATACGCATAAAATTGAAGCTATTTGAATAAAAATACGCATAAAATTGAAGCTATTTGATTAAAAAATACGCATAAAATTGAAGCTATTTGAATAAAAAATACACATAAAATTAAGCTATTTGAATAAAAAATACGCATAAAATTGCTTAAATATCCTCCTACTCTTCCACACTTCTATAGGTCTCACTGTATGTAACTGTTAGCTGTTTAACTAAAATTTAATACTGTAATGCTTTAATCAAATATCTTTGACTAAAAATTAATTATGTTTAGTAAAAGATGGATTTAATGATTTGATACTTACCTACAAAAACCTAGAGGACTGCAAACAGATGCCCATCTTGTACAATCACTGTCATCTCTAATTGGAGAAAAAAATATATAGACAGTACAAATACAAGAACAATATGCAGTACTGTCATTAACCATAGAATCTCTCCGTCCATCCATGTAATGTCGTCTTTAACTTAAAACCCCCTCTCTGAGACACCAAACCAAATACTTTTTAGCCCCATTTTCTTTGTTCTCCGGTAACGGAGTCTAAACACTTTTATTATTGTGAACAGAATATTTTCATATAAAGAATTAGTACTTCAGTTAATAATTAATTGTCATTCTTTTCAGAAGTTTCAAAGACTTTTGATTTAAAATAGCAATAAGCAAAACAATGCCACATTCCGATTGGTCCAAAGGTTTTGTTCAAGCTAATATAGTTTTTGTTTACCAATAGTAGCGTATACCTGCACTGTCCCCTCTCTCCATCCTCCTCTGCCCCGTAGGACTGTGGTGGCCCCTTGTCCCCGTACAGGCTCGTCCATACACACCAGCCCCACTTACTGCAGTACGGTGCATACTCACTTTATCATGTACAATTCAAGTTTATTCATAGAGTAAAGTCATGTAAACGCTCTACTCTAATTAAACTCTTTACTCTAAGACAAAACAATAAAAATCAATCAAATTTTTTATTTATTTGTGATTATATAAGACACAAAATTTGGTCTCTTGCTTCAGCATTTTGGGGAACGTACAGGTATAGGGAACTGGGAACAACGTTCTAAAATATATTTAATCGATTCATAAATTGAATATTTTAAGACCAGAATATATTGTATGAAACAATTGTAAAGCGAAAAAAGGTACACAAAATGTTTTAGATTATTCCAAAAGAGCCATTAATGTTATTATATAGTATTGTTGTCGGATAGGAACTTAAGTTTCTCAATAATGAACAGATAGACAACGGAATTACCCTCAAATCAAAACCGATAATGCAGAAAACTCTTTATTTCCTAAAAAAATGAAATGTATAATGATAAATAAATCATTACAATGGTTTACGAATTTTATAATGAAAAGATTATTACGATCTATTTAAGGATCTGTAGGTTAAAACCGTCGGGGAGTCCTAAGACGTTTTTTTATATATTAAAACTTCTGAAAAGAATGACAATTAATTGTTAACGAAAGTCACTAATTCTTTATATGAAAATATTCTTTGCTTAACTTTTGAAATGGGTTCACAATAATAAAAGTGTTTAGANAAGGTATTGTTCATTAGGTTATTCTGCACAAACATGGTTTTTAAAGGTATTGTTCATTAGGTTATTCTGCACAAACATGATTGTTAAAGGTATTGTTCATTAGGTTATTCTGCACAAACATGGTTTTTAAAGGTATTGTTCATTAGGTTATTCTGCACAAACATGATTGTTAAAGGTATTGTTCATTAGTTTATTCTGCTCAAACATAGCTGTTAAAGGTATTGTTCATTAGTTTATTCTGATCAAACATGGATGTTAAAGGTATTGTTTATCAGTTTAATCTGCTCAAATATGCTTGTTAAAGGTATTGATCATTAGTTTATTCTGCTCAAACATAATTGTCAAAGGAATTGTTCATTAGTTTGAGTAAGAAATTTTCTTTTAAAATCTTGTTTTCTTTAAAATATTTTTTTTAATAGTGACAAATTTTAGAGATAAATCAGCTACACATAAGATTAAAGTATATGTATGTAGATTAAAGTATATGTATGTAGATTAAAATATATGTATGTAGATTAAAATATATGTATGTAGATTAAAATTTATGTATGTAGATTAAAATATATGTATGTAGATTAAATGTAGTAGATGAAGTTAGAGAATAAATATGGAGAATTCTTTGTTTTTTACACCATATTATATTAATTTTTGATTTGTGTGTGAAAATAAAAAAAATACAGCGACACCCTTAATATCGAATACATCGGAAGAATTTATCAAATGTCGTCTTGTCAATTTTTCAATTAGTTTTATACTATATTACGTAAATTTCAGTATTTTCGAAAATAAATAAATAGCCATGAATATGCAGGAACAGTTTTAAAGAGTTCCATATAATCATTTAATTAAAAAAACTAAATATCTGCAACATTCCATTATCAGAAAGTGAAAAATACGACATTTGATGAATTCTTTCGATGTATTCGTTATTAAGGGTTTCACTGTATAATAATTATAAAAGCAAATAAATTTCAATTCTGTAACAAAAATTTATTTTTAACCTGAATTCCAAAAGTTTGACTTCTCACGTTTCCCAAATACGAACGGAAATACTGTTTTCTATAAAAAGACCTTACCAAGAACTGAAGAGGTGTTGGAAAATGAATACTGCCTGAGAGCTTGATGCTTGAATGAGCGAATGGTGTAAAATTGCTCTAGTTCTAGGGTTAAAGCAGATCCATACAGTAGATAAAGACAAATTTTTGAATTAAATTTGACATAATGAAAACAAAATAAAGATTTTTAAATGCTTTAATTATTATTTAATATAAATCTTATTTTTGCTTCTTCGCTTTAGTTTAATTTTTAAAGCCCCTGAGCTGAGATATGTTGTTTCTTACGCATGGGTGCGGCAATGCACGCAGGATTTTGTTGAATTGTATTTTTTAGGCGCTCAGACATGATATTCAATGTAATTCTGCGATCAAGTGTAAAATCTTTTAAAAATACAGCATGGAATGATCTATTTGTACAATTAAAAATTATTTTTGGTGTTGGAACTTGGGGAGGTTTAAGTTCACACTATACATGTATGTAGATAGATATTTATTGGCTAAAAATACACGTGTTACAGGAACTTTTTGTTTTTACAGAAAAACTTGGATCTATTGTCGTCTTTTAATCAAACATGAAATAGTAATTGTATTTTATATGTTTTTATTAAATAAAATTAAAAAAAATTAATAAAATAAACCCTAAATTTGCTATATAAAGATCGAAAAAACGTTTTTATGAGCAATTGCATTTTTCATTTATATTAAATGGATGTCTAATTATGGCTTAAATAAAGGTATGCTTAATTTCTAAATTATACAGAGAGAAAGGGGTTATGAGTTTAAAATGAATACAGGATGGTACACCCCTCCCTGATTTTACTAGAGGGGGGTGGGGTTATGGACTGATGCCCCCCCCCCCTATATAATACCCCTTCCCCACTGTATACGGACCTGGCCCAAAAAAATCATTAGAATATTTTTGAAACCAACGAGTAACATAAAGTAAGACTATCATTACTTCGTAACTTCAATGTCGTCTTTGAAATTCAAGACGACATATCATATTTGAGACCAAATCATCCTTTTAACTATCCCTGCTCTCCTTGCAAACATTTAATCTCCGACAAATCGATGTGGAATATATAAAGTTCAGAATTATTTACCCGACATCTTCGCTATCAGCACATATTGTCGGTTAACATGTTTCCTGGGATGGTAAAACTAATTGAGTCTTTTCCAAAAACTCTGATATTATAATTCCTATATCTTTGCAATCCAATGTTGAATACATTGGATATTTGAAACTATGAATTTTAATACCTTAAATAATATAAGTTTGAAATATTAAAGGTTTTCCGAATCAGCTTGTAAAGCTATAAGGATTAATTAGAAAATTAGAGTTTTTGGCAAAAACTCAATTCCTTTCGGTCTTAGGATACTCTAACCTAAACTTGGGAAAAAAGCGACGACTATAGCTTATAGTTTGCAATTTAGTGTTTAGTAAAAGACCCGTTAAAAGTCCAATATGATGTGGGACACCCTGTACGGTGTACATTCCAGAATACCATATATGCCAAACATATTAAATATGGTAAATAATATAGGATTGCAATTTTTTAGACACCTGTGTAAATTAAACTAAGCATGGGTCAAGTACTGGGGTACTCACAAGTCATAATTAGGAGGAGACACATGTAATAACGACTTGAAACTCTTATGATTCAGTGAAACCCTTAATAACGAATACATCGAAAGAATTCATCAAATGTCGTATTCTTCACTTTCTGATAATGGAATGTTGCAGATATTTAGTTTTTTTAATTAAATGAATATATGGAACTCTTTAAAACTGTTTACCGCATATTCTGCAAATACCGAAATTTACGTAATATAGTATAAAACTCATTGAAAAATTGTCAAGACGACATTTGATAAATTCTTGCGATGTATTCGTTATTACGGGCTTCACTGTATGACGATCCAAAGGTTAAATCAAATATTTTTCCTTGAATATAGTCTTTAATAAGGATTTTGCAAAGAAAGAAACAAGTTTATAGTTGCAGAGAATCATGAATCTGACAGACGGCATAAGTTCCATGAGTCGAATCTCTGAAATCTCATGATATGTTTTGTATATTTCATATAAATTTTAAATAGTTTATAATTTTATTGAATCTAAAAAATGATTGATGAGGCGAAAGCAGTGTTTTATACATATGGAACCCTTAAAAGCATGGATTTGAACAGAAAGACGACATTAAGGCTTGTTCTTATCTATCTTATTTCATGTTGCTATAAATTGCAAACAGTTTTGCCAGAAGCTTGAAAATCAACCTATAAGTGAAACGGGTTTGTGTGCACTGCACAATTGCTGTGTTCATTGTAATGCTTAAACTCAGGACTATAAGTCTTACAGTCGTCTCCCTCTTCCACTGTATTATGGGTCTTACTGTATAATGATGTAAACTTTTACTAATCATGTTACTTGAGGATTTGCAATAAAATTTTTATTTTTTTCTCCGATCTTTAATTTGAAGTAAATGATTAACTAGATAAACAAAAATAGGAGAATGCAATGGAATTTTTATCTGTCTGTATCGTACAGTGATCGTAAAAGTCGTCTTCATTGTTTCGATATATACGATGACGACTGCAGTAGTAAATATGTATTCCGTATTAACTTACATAATTCGTGTCAAAGGAGTCTAAATAAAAAAGGTGTTCTATCTTTCTTTTTAAAATCCAAGCGATCTTTAACCATTTTGAATTTTGGAATTTATAAAATATATGTTAATTATATTTGGAAATATTCAAATGTGTCAGTCTTTTATGATATCAAAAGATTGATTTTCGCATTAATCGAAGATGACTTTTAATGTTTTAAATATTATTGTGAACCATACCCCATAATTCAATCTGTTGTAAGGTCGTCTCTAACAAATTATACCTCCGTCAAACCCTCCGTTCACTTTCAAAACCAAACATTTCCAAGGTCTCCGCGTAAATATAAACAAAAGCCTCATGGAACTAATAAAACTTAAAGTGCATTAAAAAGAAACAATTTAAAACATAATTCCAGTGAATCATTTACGAACAAACAGTGAAATCCCTTTAACCAAATTAATATTTATTTCAGAAGATTAAAATCGTTTTAGACTACAATTCAAAACTATTCCCGTACCATACAATTTTAGATCGTAAGTTCCTTTTTTGTTTAATTAACAATAATATCTTTTAAACCTTTTATTGGCCGATTCACAACAGTACCTTGAAACCTTTGTTCAATTCTCAATGATACATATTTCTTTAACCAATTGTTCGTTTACAACAATACTCATGTATTTTAGTTATTTTTTATTAACAATCATTATTTATATACATGTACGTCAATAACAATTTGTATTTTTGTAGGAAACCTCGTTACTGAAATATATTTTTATCATCAAGAAGTTCTCGTCTATGTATTGAGTAGGAGAGTTGTTTATCCAGCCTATTCGCCTTTGTACTTGTCTTCCCTTGCGAAGCTTACTTAGGAAACATATACCCGGCTCCGACCGAAGTTTCCGCTATCTCAAGTTGCATTTCCTTAGCTCCATTATTCGCCTTTGGACTTGTCATCCCATGAGAAGCTTTCTTAGGAAACATATACCCGGCTCCGACCAAAGTTTCCGCTATCTCAAGTTGCATTCCCTTAGCTCCATTATTCGCCTTTGGATTTGTCATCCCTTAAGAAGCTTACTTAGGAAACATATACCCGGCTCCGACCGAAGTTTCCGCTACCTCAAGTTGCATTTCCTTAGCTCCATTATTCGCCTTTGGACTTGTCATCCCTTGAGAAGCTTACTTAGGAAACATATACCCGGCTCCGACCGAAGTTTCCGCTATCTCAAGTTGCATTTCCTTAGCTCCATTATTTGCCTTTGAATTTGTCATCCCTTGAGAAGCTTACTTAGGAAACATACACCCGGCTCCGACCGAAGTTTCCGCTATCTCAAGTTGCATTTCCTTAGCTCAAGTTCCGCCCATTTCGAGCCATATTCCTTTTGATCGGTTCACAATTACAGTTTAAGAAAAATAGGCTTTCAGAACCGCTCTTCCTATAATGATAATGTAGTTCGGTTCAGAACTTCAGATGGATCTACTTCTGTACAATATCAAACAATAATAAGTCGTCTTCCTATTCCACAGTTTTATTCATCTCACAGTATAGACATTGCTACTATATAAGAACCCCATTGAAAAGTTAATTTTACTGAAGGCCGAAAAAGATTAAGATTATCCCCCCCCCCCAACCCCTCCCTCCCCAATAATTTTCCAGTCATCATGAATAATAAAAACCTTTTTATTCTACTGTATGCTTGTCCAAGGCTTTCATGATCACGTCTGCCCGAGTTCGACATGCAAACTGCAATTTTCAAATTTGCAATCGCAATTAAAATCCTTTTATCTGGACTTCTGCACAACTTTATATACATCTTTATGGTGGATTTATACCTACAACCGACATGAATTTTTAACAGACGTACGTAACATAGTACGGTCATACAAACAACACTCATGCATGTTAGTGTATGTTAGCGTGTGTGTGTGTGTGTAAGTACTACAGGTAGTTCTGCTGTTCACCTGCCAGCAGTCGAAGTGAATCTTCTACAGAGATCGGACGGGACAGATGTAGCTCCGGTATTAAACTTGTAATACACCCAACCTGTCAAACCCTGTACTCGGAGTATGTAAATGATCTATAGAATGTAGGTTTCACATTCAGTGAAAAGTGACTTTTAGCAGATTATTTCAAGTTACTAAGGATGCCCTAGTATAGAGGGGTACCTAGAGAAATCATGCGGACCAAACCCAGGTCCGATCAGCCCTCCTCCGCACCAGTAGAGTAAGTATTCACAATTATATTCATTATCAACTCTCTCCTTATATCTTGGATATCATTGTATCCTGTCTCCTATCAACTACTTATGTCCACCATGAAATTAAAACTCTAAAATATCAATACTCATTTATTTGCAAGTATTTTCATAAAACATTTCCTTTGTTGAATCCTCATAAAGGAATTCAATTAATAAAGATAAAAAAGGCAAAAGTTATTATTGGTAAAATTTATCTGAAACAAGACCAATCTGCTGGGAAATCTTTCCATTCAGTCACGAAATTGTTTGCCTGAAGAAGTGTGGGGGTGTGAGAACTTATATTTATTAAAGTAAATTTATATGGTAAATATTGACATATTTTTTTCTAAGTGAACGTGATCTAAAAAAATGAAAAAAAATCTTAAAATACTCGAATTAGTTTTTATTTCAAAGATGCATATTGAATTTTGATGCTTTTAAATCTTAAGACAATCTGAAAATGTAGTTAGAAAAAAATAATTTGGCACATTTTTCGTCTGCGAATTTTCTAGACTCTTGTGCTCATTTTTAGCAAAAAAACTAATTTAAAATTTGAATTGTTTTTGTTTGGATGATTTTAGTTTTTTTTTATGTTTTCTTATCTAATTTAATGTTGTTTATTTTGTCATTATTTTGATGCTCATTTGTCGGTAATGAGAAGCTATCTAGGTTAAAATCTAAATTATTTTAAACAATTCCTGATTGTTTTATCTCAATCCCTTTTTCTTAAAAGATTGTCATCTTAAAAAGGCTCTTTTGTTTTAAATCCCTCCTAATAACCCCCTCCTCCCCCTCCTAATAACCTATAACCCCCTCCTCCCCCTTCTAATAACCTAATAACCCCCTCCTCCCCCTCCAGCCTTCGAGCCTTCCAAGTTAAAAAGCTTCCTCCCACAGTTAAGTTGTAAATTCAAATTAGTTTTGAAATGAACCCATGTAGGTATTGAATTAGGTAATGGGTTTGTAAAAAACACCGGGAGATCTTAAATACGTGGAATTCAGAAACAAAATCAATAATTTAATTTAATAATCAGTAATTTGATAATTTAATAAAAAATGGAAAGAATAAGTAGCGAAGTCTCTTTCTTCATTATCTTATAAGAAAAAAAAGGTTTGTCCATTACAAATTAATGCCAACAGAAAAAAGTATTAATTAAGAAAAGTTTAAAATATCAAATTAAATTAATGTTTTAGTATATCTGGAAAGTGTTGAGTAAGCAATATGCAAACAGATTTTTTATTTATCATTTTATTTATTTACAGTTATCTGCAAACAAATTAATTTCAACAGTTCTAAAAGTTTAAACCATACAGTTATATGTTTTTATATTTCTGAAAAGTGTTAAGTAAGAAATATGTATGCAAATAATGTAAAAACATCTCAGTTTCAATCTTACAGCCATTATTGAATTTCATGCTTAACAAAATCATGAACGAGGCACGAGAATACTTTAAATATTCAGATTTCCTTTCGAGGGGGGGATGGGGGGGGGGGTTACATTTCTGTGGTAACCCAAAAAATCAATTTTCTTTGTAAAACATCATGTAATTGTTTCCTATAGCAAGGTTACTCACAAAGTATGGGTCTGTAAAGACGACTTCAAATATTTAAAAATGAACTATCCCAAGGCCTATTAATGGCTTATTAAATGATTAAGTAAAAAAGAAAAGTTATCAGTTACAGGGAATCCCAACTATAGGGAGACAGACAGTGTAAATTCCGTAGATTCGTCTCTAATGGATCCTTCTTTTTGGGTTACACTGTATAACGATTAAAAACTACTAAAAGCGACAACTATTCCAAAGTATTCTAGTTACATCTCGGTATGAAAATATTTCAATATTTTGCTACTTGTTTTAAGATTTTTATTATTACTAAGTCAATGTAACATTGACTTTTAAGCACTTTCTATAGAAGAGCTTGTTATATATATCCTTGAATTTTCTATAACACCATTGTAAGTTCTAAAATAGTTCTTTTCCGCCATGTTTACTCCTCTCATGTCAGGTGTTAACATGTAAACATACAAACATACATCAAGATTCAGGATATACAAAAACAAGACAGACAAGAATGATTTGTCAGGAAAAATTCTTTTACATGCCAAATTTACTAACCCCCCCCTNAATTGGTTTGGTTTACTAATTATATACAGTGATTGTAGAGTAAACCAATGTAACTAAATATATAGGTAGTGTATAGGAGTAGAATAGGTTCAGTTCATGATGAATCAGAATTGGTTTGGTTTACTAATTATATACAGTGATTGTAGAGTAAACCAATGTAACTAAATATATAGGTAGTGTATAGGAGTAGAATAGGTTCAGTTCATGATGAATTAGAATTTTGTTAGATCAAATAGTTTTAGTTTGAAATATCATAATTGTACGCAATTAAAGATCTTACAGTGATCCAAAGGTTTCAATTACTTCTGAAATACTAAAGCTTAAAACAAGTGCATTATTGTTCTAAAATGTACATGTCTAGGACTCAAAAATGTTGTGAGTTAGTGAGGTTAAAATAAAACGACATTTCCAAGTGGACCCAGTCATATGCAGATCTACGTAATATAGGGATCAGAAAAACTGCCATAATTAATGAGAAACTGCTTTAAATATGCTTTTCTCTTGTTACTTCGATACCTTAATAAAAGAACACCAAACTTGTAGATTCCAAACAGAAATACGCATAAACTTGAATTTTCTACCTTATTTTAATCTTCTTGGAATCTATAAGTTTAATGAGGTGCAGATTCTGCAGATAAAGGTTACATGAAATATAATAAGTGAGAGATCTAGGAATTGATCCTAGTATTAACATTAGTTCTTGGTTGAATATCATCATTGCAATTATTATTATTAAAATTATTATTTTTCCACACGTTATTTTAATGAATATCAATATTTTTCCTTAGATGTCTTTACAGTTTTAACCTTCTACTTTAGAATGTTATCAGTCGATTTTTAAATTTTTAATGACTTTTTGTTTTAAATGCGACCTAATTTTTCTTTTTCCTTGCGATTTTAAAATTTCATCAGTCGAGTTTTGAATCTTTAATGCCATTTTTACAATTTCATCTGATTTAAAATTTTATTTGGTTGTAAATTCTGTATCTGTCTTCTGTACAAAGAAATTGAGTTTTTGCCACAAACTCTTAATTTATAATCTTTATATCTTTGGAACCCAATGTCGCAAATCTTTGATATTTCAAACTTACATTATTTGATCTAACAGAATTCATAGTTTGAAATATCTAAGGTCTATGACATTGGAATCCAAAGATATAGTGTTTTAAAAATCAGAGTTTGTGGCAAAGACTTAAGTCCTTTAGCTGTCGGCGTTAAGTAAAAGTTTAGCAGTGAGACATGTGAACTATATACTTGAAAAATGTCAGCTACAGAAATTGAGTCTTTGCCACAAACTCTGATTTTTTTATCCCTATACTTTTGTAACTTTTGTGGACCAGATTTGTGAAACTATGAATTCTGTTAGATAAAAAATCTAAGACTAAATTTATTTGAAATGTAATTTTTCGTCTGATGTATGAAGTATTTGGTGATAATTAAGTATGCAGTTTACCTATCATGCAATAGCACTCCAGACAATTATGAGTCTGCCCTTTCCAATTTTCTCACAGGTTTTCTATTAAGAAGTGCCAAATATCTAAAAAATAAAAACTTTCCTATTTAGTTTCATTTCATTTTGCTAAATACATTTAGAGATGAAACTTCAGGCATATTGTAAACACTTTTTAGCAAGATTTAAGTTTTTTATAAGTTTCTTTTCTCAGGATCAACAAGAAGATCAACAATAAGAACGATATTGTCTTTTTTTAGGGTTAAAAATATTAAATTCGATAATTCAAATGTTTTCCTGAAGTAGAAATGCGCAAGTCACTTTTGAAAAAAAAAAATTTGAATAATCAGTTTTTAAAATTATTAAAAATTATTGGATCTCAAAAGCTTTTCGGGGTACCTTATTAAACTTTTCATTGTCATCTTTACATGAAGGGTTACATGAAATTATGCTTACAAGTTCTAGTCATAAATTCAGAACTATTTTGGCGAACATTCCCTTTAAGCTTTATTGTCCTTCATAAAACTTTAGTATTTTACATAAATATAAAAGTGTTTTCCCAAGCTCAAGAAATCTTTTATAAGAAAGCAAATACAATATTATTAAGTTTTGATTTAAACCTATTTGTCATTCCTATAAATGTAAAACATTTCTTACAGTGCTAACCAGAAAACAATGGAATGGGAAGACGAAATTATATCAATACTTAAGAAATTTTGATTTTGCTGCAAAGCAAATAGTTTTACGGGACACTTAAAAATTCACCCATTAAGTGAAATTTATCTGTTTACACTGCACATCGTTTAAATTGTTTTAAGTTATGACTTGATTCTAAAAGTCGTCTTACAATTCCAGAGTTTTCTGCTCCTAAGTAATGAATTACTAAATATTTATAAAAGGACAGTTCTTGAATATTTTAACTATTGATCCTGACACGAATTTACAGGCAGGGTTCAGGAATTTACTTCAGGATTCAGGAATTTACAGGCAGGATTCAGGAATGTACAGGCAGGATTCAGGAATTTACTTCAGGATTAGTTAGGTTTGTTTAAAAACTTCAACTTGTCACGGTCCAGGATCAGGTTTAGGTTCTCCAGTGTGAGAAAACAGTAGGATAGAAGCGTGAGAATCTAGGAGTAATCTTAGAACCAGGAGAATCCATCCCCAAGAGATAATCGTCTCAAATACATTTTTGTTCGAAACAAAGTGAAATCTTATAAATGTTTTTTATTATTTTCTGGAATTAAAATGATTGACTAAAATTCGTATTCGTATGTTTCACGTATTAACAAGAAATCTAGAAATCAATTGAATTCAGATATATTATTTTTAAGCATAGTTTTGCAATTCTTTCCTAAGCAATCTGATGCATATATGTATTCAGATAAAATAATGTTTTTGTTCTTCATA